CTACTCTCTCTCTCCTCCTCCTCCTCTCTCTCTCTCTCTCTCTCTCTCTCTCTCTCTCTCTCTCTCTCTCTGTGTTTTTTTATTCTCGCGACTCGCTCGAATTAATCTCTCTTTCGCGAGATCTTTTCCTCGAACCGTCGCGAGCTCATTTGCTGTTCATTTTATGCATGTGACATCACTCGGCATAGCGGCGATTGAAATCATCACGGCGTTAATTGCGTTTTTTTATTTCCGATAATGGAATAATCCCGCGACTTCCACCTTCCACCGTCGAGCGATCGCGAAGCGCGAAAGCGCGAGTTGAAAGGATAATTTTCCTACTCGGAAGTATCGGCGGCGATCCGGGCCATTACCCGCCACACGCCACACGGCAGAGGTAATACGTTTTCCTCGGACCACAATAATAATAAAGCGCGCAACGCTGGCCTGCCTATGAGTCAGCACACGGACGACGGAGACGTAATCGTTTCGAATATGCGGGTCATCGTTGAACAAGCGACTGTCTTTCAGCGACGCCCGAAGGTCCGCGCTTCTACCGCGGTGCTTTTAATCTCGCGCATGACGTCGCGAAACGTGACTTCGAACAACGCCTCGTTCGGATCCTCTTCTATCGTCTCCCCCTGCGACAGACATTTTTTTCCTCTGACAAAAAAAAAAAAAAAAAAGAAGCGACGGGGAGAATATCTTACTGGATTTTTAATATTCCTTCGAAAAATTCGCAACGTTCGCGCACCGCGGTCCGCTGCGTGCGTACCGCTTCTGAATGTTCGATCGCACGCTGGTTTCTCATTTCGCGTCACACCTTGCAAATCGGAGCCTCGAGGTCGTTGCCTCTTCCTTCGTTGGAAGGAATAATACGACTCCGTCCGCCGCACCGAGCGGCGTTTTTACGGGGCTGTGAAAAGCCCGCGACCACGTTGTCTCTCGTCGTCCTGGTAGTCGTCGCGGTGCCGCACGATTCAGCCCGCGATGGGGCAGGTGATATACGAGAACGAGACCGAGATGAGACCGCACTTACTTTGCATCTCTAAACGACTTGCTTTGGGAATGACATGCAACAAATGCCAGCCGCGCGCGCTCCTGATCTCATCTTAATTATCTCACTCGCGTTATTTGCTCTAACGTGTAACCGCCAGATCTAAACGCGGATCTCAGTGTTTCCGGCATGAAAGAGGAATCCGACAAAATTCTCTCTTTTAATGAGCATAATAGGAGAAACTTAGGCGATTTGATTGTGAGATTAATGAATCAAGTTACGTGGGATAAACATACAAATTTAGAGATCTAGGAAAATGAAAAATTCCCTCGAAGCGGTAAGGATCTTCGATTATAATTCCAAAAATCTGCGTTGGGAATTTCAGAAAGAGAGTAGCTTTCGTGTGTGGCTGCGTTTGACGTCGATCGATGATAATTACGATTATAGACAACTAAAAAAGTCTCGAACTTGTTCTCCAAAGGCATCGTAAATCTTTCTCGTGCAATCACGAACTGTGCGGAATGATGCCGCGCGAACACGCACACGTGCCTTTTCCCTTTCTCTCTCTTTTTCTCTCTTTTTCTCGCGGTTTCCCGATTTAAATCGCTTCTGCGTGCGTACCGCAGAAGCCAGACCGTTCTTTTCACATACAGAGGCGAAGAAATTCAGGCCGGCGATAAATCAAACTGATTTTCTTCCACCGGACGGTTCGCCGCTCCGGCATTGTGTGTGTGTGTGTGTGTGTGTGTGTATGTGTGTGTGTGTGTGTGTGTGTGTGTGTGTGTGTGTATGTGTGTGTGCCGTAAACCCGAGAAGCTAAAACCCCGATTTCCCTTCGACTTTCAGGTAACGTGGACATCGTGAACGGCAATCTGAAGCTGATTCTGGGTCTGATATGGTCGCTCATCGTGCGGTATCAAATTGGCAAGTCCAAGTTCCCGCCGAGAAAACTCATGCTCGCATGGCTCAAGGTCAGTGCGCGATATTAATTGCATCGCGAGCTCTCGCATCGCGGCCGAATGCAGAAGCCATTACCTTACCTCGAGGTTTGATCCCATCCGACGGGTCCACATATATCGCATTACGCGAGAACGTGTTCTCCGTTACGAAAGAGTCCAGAGACGCCGATCGCGTTATACGTTATAATGCAGTCTCGGCAGCCTGTACTCGCGCATAATATTAATACGCGTGTGCAGATATGTGCATGTGTGCATGTGCTATATATGATTTATAATGCGAGCGTTTGACCCTTGGATACCTCGCGTATCGCGGTCGTCGTATTTTAATCGCTCGGTAATAAGCGCGGATATGGATTAAACGCGTGTAAACGCGGCCATAAGTCCTAACAACAGCGATTTCTGTTTTCAGGCTGTCTTGCCGGAGTGCAGAGTCAATAATTTCACGACCGATTGGAATTCCGGCGTGTATCTGAGCGCACTTTTGGACTACTGCAAGCCTGGGCTGTTTCCCCACTGGCGCCAACTCGATCCGAACGACAGGTAAAATGAACACTATACAAAAGTCATTAGTGACTAAAGAAAAATTTTTAATTAAATTTCAGTAGACATTAACAGCTACGAAATAAAAAATTAAAAAGATTTTTTAAATTCTGAGAATTAATGTCAAAGTTTTTTATCAGAAAACAATTTAGATTATTGTATTTGTATTTGCAAGAACATAATTTTATAAATGAGTTATTAATTTTAAAAATGATACAAGGTTGTTTCTTTAATAAATTGTAAAGAGAAAAATTGCGTTGTTGTAAAAATGTGTCATGTTGTTAATTTTGTATCGTTTAAATATTTACGTGCAACTTGCAGTGTCTACAACTGTCGCAAGGCCATGGAAATATCGAAGCGGGAGTTCGACATCCCCATGGTACTGGAGCCGGATTATCTGGCGTCGCCTTACTTGGACGAGCTCTCGGGGATGACCTACTTGTCGTATTTTATGAAGGAAGGCTCGCCGGGCTTCCACGCAACGCTACGATGGGTCAATTCGCAATTATCACACACCTCGATACGGAACTTCACGGTGGGTGGAGACGAGGCGTCCGGCTTAACAGTACCTCTCGGTACAATATCTCTACTGTGATACTCAATTACCTCGTTTTTATAGACGGACTGGAACGACGGTCGAGCTCTGTGCGGAATCGTCAGAAATCTGGGCGGCCCGGCGCCACCCTACGAGAAACTCGATGCCGACCCCTCCGCGTGGGAGCACAATTTGCAAATGGGTAAGAATCCTGCAAGTTGCTTTTCCATCGTTTTTTAAATGAGAACAACAAACGTACGTTTTATAAATATTTATCACGTAGTAATATAATTAATATTTATCACGTAGTAATTATAAAATTCGTATTACACATCTTGATCTTGAAGTTTTACATGATTTTATTATGCCAGAAGATTTACAGGTAGTTACACGGTAATTACACAGAAAAAACGGTCTTTTGCTGAAGTAGCTTAAATTTCGACTAGATATAGATCTAAAAATAATTCTTTAAGACTATTTATACAATTAAGTGGAATTTTTAAGCATGAAAATTATAATATTGAAGAAACTTTTGATATCTTAGGAATCGAAATTGTTTTTTGTATGACTGAATTAATTTTTAGATACTTTGACATAAAATTAATAAATTCTTTCTATGTAGGTTTTGAAATAAGAATTGTAATAGATCGTCTTCTTAATATGTTAATAAAATTAAACAGATTTTATGTACAAGTAAATTTTGAAAGAAGAATGAAATTTGAAAGAGGAACAAAAACCTTCGATAAAATTTGGATAATGGATCAAACGATGACGTATTCTCTAAAGGAATTGACGGTGGCAAGAAGCTGGGCGTGGAGCCAATATTAAAAGCGAAGGACATGGCGGACCAGAACGTGGAGCATTTAGGTGTGATGGCATACGCGGCGTACTTTCAGTGGGTGAAGCCTCGCCCTCAGGCGAGTCAACAGATTGCCGTGCACATCGATAGCACATCCGCCCGAATGCAACAGCCGGTTGGTTAAGTCATTGTTTGTTAATTACACCTTCACACCGCGGTTAGTCGGCGTTGACGAATTTTCACCGCCGGGTCGCAGTTCCTTCCATTCGGCCCGCCTTATCCGCTTCTCCGCCGACTCCGCAAAAGTTTCAGTTTTCTTTCGGAAAATGCATTGTGCACAATTTGGTTGCAGGCACATTTTAAATTGGAAATGCTCACCAAAGATGTAAACGCGAGGGAGGTACGCGGCGAAATCATCAGTCCCAGCGGACGTGTCGAGTGCAGGCTTACGTGGAACGGGGTTCATGGGAAAGGCACCTTTGTACCTACGGAAGTCGGCATGCACAAGGTAAAAGAATTAAAAATAGAAAATTACTAAAATACTGCAAAATAAGATTCTTACTTGCGTGATTGCACAATTTTAAAACATATTAAAATTCGCAATTTCTTAAATAAAATTCTAATTATTCAGTCCAATCTTTTTATTTGCATATCTTAGAAAAGAGATTCCTTAGACTCGTCAAAGAAATATTATTTTCTTTTAAATGAGTTATTAAATATTCCTTTTCTTTTATTTTTCAAATTTATTTCTCGCTTCTCAGCTGATGGTGTACAATGATGGCGAGCTGGTGAACGGGTGTCCCTATTACTTCAGGGTCTTGCCGTCGCTAACAAAAATCAAATCCCCGGGCATGGATCCTTGCGCTATAGGATCTATCGTTGAAGTTCTAGTCAACAGTTACGGTACGTGCAACCTGTGTGCACAAAAGAATTCCTACGAAAACAAAGTTGCAATATTTGAATTCTGCGTTTAGGAACTAGTCATGACGGCATCGACGTAACCGCGTGGTCTCCGACCGGAAGATCGTTGCCATGTCCCGTCAAGGAAAAGGACGGTGTACACACTGCGACCTTCCAGCCTGACGAGACAGGAGAGTGGAGTATTGCGATAACACACAAGGGAAATCACATACAAGGCGGCCCCTTTACTTGTTTCGTATTCGATCCTAATGGAATCAAGGTACAATCATAATATGTATTAACAATTGTAAATAAATACGCATTTTTATCACCTGCACCCGTCAATTTGTCTGGAAGGCGAGAATCAATTCGTGATTAATAATTTATAAGCAGAACCAGTTTATGCATGTTGCCATCGTTATTTGCGATAGTTCTGTTTCTAGTATTGAAAAATGTGGAACTCGTGGAAGAATTAAATATGTAGAATTAATTATGCGTAAAGATTGCATATATAAATAGATATTTTCTTGAATATAGAAAATAGAATAATTAATTGAAAATAAATAAATAAGATAAATTAATTAAAAATACACTATTACTTTTAACAAATAAAATAAATTTTATGCATATTCTATGTATAAAATCATACAATTTATACGTATTTTATTTTATATATATATATATATTACAATCAATTTCCGTTCTTATTATAGTCCAAATAAATCAGAAATAATTTAACAAGCTTCTATGAAATTGTGTAATCACAGCTTTTGGATACCGACGGCGCCATGCCCGGACAACCGTTCTCTTTTATTGTCGACGCGCGGGGAACCGGCGGGCTCGGCGACGTAATCATCGACATCGTCCACGATAAACAATCGGTGCCTTACAGGATGGAGGACTTCGGCCATATGCAGTATCGGGTGTCTTTCGTGCCTGGCGACGAGGGCAAGTACCGGGTGTACGTGTATTTTAATGGTTCGGATGTGCGCGGTTCGCCATTCTCCATACGCGTGGGCACGCAGAGGGGCTCCCGCAGATCGAAGGAGTCTACATCCAGCCTCGAACGGTCCAAGGTGTCGTCCCTGGAACGACGAATGAACGGATTGAACATGTCCGCGACGGAACGGAGCAGCCCGACCCAGAAGATGTACACCTCGACCGCGTACAAATCCATCAGCCCGACGCAGCGCGGTTACTCGCCGATCCATCAGACGAGCCCGACGTACAAAATGTCCAGCAACTACGTCACCGACAACTCGACGACTTATCACAGCAGCAGCTCGCTGAACCGCACTCGCTCGCCGAATCATCTCAATCAGAGCCCCGTGCAGAGGAACGTGCACAGCCCGTCGGTGTTGAAGGAAACGAAGGAGATTTACAGCAGCAGCGCGTATAACCACAGCAGATCGCCGAACCTGCAGAGTCCCAGCTTCATCAAGGAGTCCAAGGATATCTACTCGGGTTCTACGCTCAATAGATCACGATCGCCAGATGTGACGGTGAGCCCGACCGCTCACATCATCAAAGAGTCCAGGGACATCTACAACTCGGGCTCCCTGAAGAGATCGCGGTCGCCGACTCGTAGCCCGATGACGTATGGCAGTGCCACGCAGAGTCCCGTGAACCGCAGTTTCAGCCCGAGGACCGGTGACAAGGATGCACCGTTTTTCGGCAGGCGCGGATCCACGGACAACGGCGTCGTGGACACCAGCAGCAACGTGCGAGTGTCCTCGATGGTGGGCGGTACGTCGAGGCGCGACTCCTGGGACGCGATCACCAAGACGAAGTCGCTGCTTTCGTACGGCAGCCTCGAGTCTCTCGCGAATCTAACGAACAACTCGCCGACCGCGGAGAACCACGGCGGCAGTCCGAACGGCAACTTCCTGAACAACAACTACAACAGCGCGCAGAGCTACTCCTCCAAGAACATGACGTCACACACCGCGACGACGGCCTATTCGTCCCTGCAGAAATCAGCGAGCCCTGATTACGGCACGGGTCAACCCGCCGCTCGCACGCACGGTATCCTGAAGAACAAGAACAACAATTATTACGGCAAGAGCGTGGACACGACGGACGGCACCGCGACTCACGACAGATACCTGAACAACGGCGGTACGATCTACGTGTCCGCGTCGTCCGGCAAGAACGGCACGACCGTCGCCACCGGAAGCGCCTTGGAAACGCTACCGGTGCACCGGCCGACCACTTTCAGCGTCAACACCAGCGTGGATCCCAATAAGGTGTCCGTCACCGTTACCGGTAAATCCCGTTGCGACTTTCAACGTTAACGAATGCGTGTCGCGAATGCACGATAAAGTCCGCTTTTATGCCTTCGGCAGGTCCCACCGGCAAGACCGTGCCGATACAGAAATCGAAGCTGCGTGGCTTGACGTACACCGTCACCGCCGAGGAAGTCGGCGAACACGTCATCCAGATTCTGGTAAACGGCCAGCACATCAAGGGATCACCCTTCAGGTGCGTTGAATGGCAAAGGAAAGACGTTCATCTCTAAGTATGATCTAATTAGACTTAGTCATCATTTTACAATATTGAATCTTTTATATTTATTATGTAGGAAAAATCTCAACTATAATATTTTAATACCTTAAATCTCAAGAAATTTGAAATTATCTCTTATATCTCTTATATTCTATTAAACGCTCAATAAAACTGAAAAATAGATACAGATGAATTTAGCTGAATTAAACAGCGAGCGAGATTGTTTAATTTAATTAAATTTTAGATCGCAGGCGTATAACGCCCGAGCTATACAGGTTGGGAAGATCCCGAATGGGGTAGTGAATCAACCGGTAGAATTCGAAAGTACGTATCTGAAGTTATGGGATCGCACAATCGTAAGTGCGTTATTCGAAATAAATAAAAGATGTTTTATTTATCAGTTGACGGATCTAAAGCCGGCTCAGGAAACCTGGAGATCCTCGTAAACGGAGGACACGTTACAAGTTTCGTGAGAGCGCTAGGTAGCCAACGTTTCTTGGCGTCGTTTGTGCCACACGAAGCGGTTGCACACCTGGTCGAGATGACATTCAACGGGGAAGTCATCTCTGGTAAGTCATTTTATAATTTTAAAACGAACTTCGAAGTCGTTTAACAAATAAAATTCATAAACGTTTATTTTAAAAAAAAATTCAAATAATCAAATAAATAGATAAAATTAATATTTAATATATCAAATATCTGATATTAATAATATTTAAAAATAATATATTATCAAAAAATATATTATCAAAAAAAGAGGTAAATATAAATGCGCCTTGGATGATGCGCTAATTATTAATATACATATACTTGCTCTCGTTTTGCTTTTTAATAAAATATTCCTAATTATTTATTTGGGACACGAATCGTTAAATAATCTCTCTAATCAGTGAGATATTTAGCTATCATTTCCTCATACACGCTGAGTGATTATATCAAATCAGTTAAAAGTTTTTTTTAAAAGATTTCGAAAAGTCAGTTAGTATACCATTATTTATTTAGATATGGATATGATAATCCGGAATTTTCAGGCGCCAATGCGAACATGAGTCTTTGAATGCCGTTAGAGCTTTATCTCGTTTTATTTGCTGTCTCCGGTATTTCGCGATAGCTACCTTTACCGCAAATATCTTAATTTTCATGGTGCGGTTTTTAGCGCGCCTTTCTTCCGTCAAATTCCGATACGGCAAACCTCCGATGCTTCTCCGCCTAGAATAAATTCTTACTGCGTACGCACGCACGCACGCACGCACGCACGCTACGCTACGCACGCACGCACGCACGCACGCACGCACGCACGCACGCACGCACGCACGCACGCACGCACGCACGCACGCACGCACGCACGCACGCACGCACGCACGCACGCACGCACGCACGCACGCACGCACGTGTGCACGTGCACGTGCATGGGTACGTGTATCTCCTGGAATGCGCGATAGACTTTGCCGTCGCCATTAAGGAAGCTGGAATGCATACTCAACGTTGAAATGTTGTTTAAAAGTACGAGTCGCGCAAATGACGATCTAAGCCGCGGAGCGATTCATCAAAAGCTAATTTATACAAATTAGAATGCACGATCGATAAATTCTTCGCTAAGTCGAATCGAATCGACATTTCGCGTAGTGAGTCACTTTACGAAAATGTTTATACGTGTGAGACGAGAGATATTTCAGAATTTAAAAATTACAAAATATTTAATATATTTTGTAAGAAATAAACATTAGGTGATATAAATAAACATTTAAAAATGCATTTGTCGCGTTATCGCATTCTTTCGTTGGTACTCTTAATAATTGTACTTACGGAATGTACATGTATGTCTCTTATCTCTTTGCAAAATAAGCTTCTTTAATTATGATAATTTTCCTTAATTAATTTATTCACGTTCGATCGAAAGTATTTCTTGGCGGAAGTAATTAATTTATTTTTCATAGTCTTCTACATACACTATTATATTTATCAGACATTCTTGCGATTTTTACATATACGCGAGTAACATCATTAAGCAATATTACATTATTTGAGTTACATTTTTATTGAATACGAATACACATGTTTAATCGCTTTACTTTTCTCAATTTCTGTTTATATGGAGGAAACGAAGATTGTGTAGCACTGTAGTTAAGTCTAAATGTTAGCTCGTATCGAGGAAAGTGTTACGTGCGTACGCTAAATAGCACGACGCAAATCCATCTTGTGTTCCGTCATGCATCGCTACGATCATCTATAAAGTAATACTTTTCGTCTCTCTCTCTCTCTCTCTCTCTTGAGAGTGCAATTCCACAATGCAGTTACTCGCGACGGTCTTATCGGTGAAAAATCATTCACTGTTCACCATCAGCGTTTATTTTTCCTCTGACCTTTAGCCGTCCGACTGTAAGGCTCGATTTCCGATGGCTATCGTCCGAACGGAGAAAAGTGTTGCGAGAGCGACTTCCGGTAGTCCCTCCCCCCCCCCCCGCCACGTTCTCCGGCTTCACGCTTCGCGCGAACTTTTAAAGACGGCCCCCGCAATTTGCGAGAGACGGCTTGCAAAATCTCTCTGCTCCTCTTATCTTGCTCAATGCGCGTGCTGAGGCAACGGTTTACGACCGTAATCGCACGGGACGCGATTCCTCCGCCGAGAAGCTTCCTCGCGGAGTTCATCCCAGCCGGCGTGCCGGCCGGGGAGCTCCAAAGTCGGAAGAGGCCGGAAGTCAGGGGGGGTGGCCTTCAGAGGGAGGGGGGGAGGGGAGATCGAGAGTCGAAAGTTATCGTCCGTGTCGAGTCCCAATTCTATCCGTTCGACGAGGGAAGCGTGCGTTTTCTTTTCTCCCGTCGTGAAATTCCTCCGTCGCGGCGGCCGCATGGTAATTACGGCGCTCTTCCATAATAATAAGTGCCGCCGCGCGTTTCCTCGCCACTTATCGTGCCCCGCGTACCTCTCCTCCTTCGGCTCCCGCCGAGGAGAGAGACGCCGAGGAGGAGTGTACGCGATTGCGAGGAGCGATCGAGTTCATCCGCGTCTCTCCCAGGCGTGCGAGGCAAGCGTGTCTCTAAGTCAGCGGGTCATCGGGCAGGTCGTTGACTTGCGATTTCACGCATTCACGTGACGTCCCACTGACCCATATCCGACGTCATCGTTCTCCTCGGCTTCCTGAACGAATTTTTTTTTTTTTTTAATCGTAGCTCGCCTACCTCGTCGTCACAATGCGCCGAGGCCGTGGTGCCGTGATCCACAATGCCGCGTGACGAGCGTCCGTTCATCTCTCACGCCGTTCGAATAACGTTATACTACACGCCTTCGTAGTAAAAGTCGTATAAAAGCGTGACTAGCGCCGATTGTAAAGAAATATAATATGTATTCAGTTTCTCACAGTTCGAGTCCTGTCTATCTGATAAAAGGATCTTTGAAGGATCCTGGATCCAAGTTGCTTAAACTCGCAAAACGAAAAGTTTTAGATATCTCGAGTCTTCGATTTTTGGAAACTTGGTTGCATTTAATATGTATTTACCCTTATTAATTTACATATGGTATTGTAGTTTGTATATCGGAGAGGGAAAAACGCTCCGAAAGTGAAATGGTTACCCATAGACAACCTCGAGGCACGATACCACCGTTGCACGTGCATGAATAATTATATTATTTAGATGCCATATATGTAGTGCATTCTCCATTGCATTATGATTATGTATTCATGCAGAATAGCAATGGTAGTCGTTCTATTATCTACCCTTTCCCGCATCGCGTTATCGACGAGAGAAAACTAATGCACGCCGCGGAAAGAACAGTTTTGCTGGCAAGTCTAAAAAAATCTGGCTAGAAAATAATTTTATTCGAGCCTTCAAAATTATTATATACGAATTGCTTGTAAAAACGTTAAAAATTTTTAGTAGTATTATTACAAGTATCCTAAATATTATACATTTATTTAATTATTTTATTTAATTATTAAACATATAAGTTTAAATATCCTACATAATAATTTTGATCCAAATTATTTTCAAATCTGTATCTGATCACATTTTTTTAAATTTGCCAGCAAAACTGAATACTCTGTCGCATTTTTCCATCATGTTTCTCCGACAAATTATTTCTAAAACATCGATCAATCCATATTCATATGTTTCCGCGATATGTAACGGAAGAGATTTGGATGGAAATTACATTGGACCGAAACGGGGAATTAATTCGTGATAAAATCGAAAGACGCGACAGTAGAGAACCTCGTTCTTTCTGCCAGATGAGCGCGTTAAAAGTCGTGCATCAGGTATCGAATGGGTCGGGTATGTATTATTGCGTAATCGGACCCGCGTGCATTCCTCCGATCGATATTTCGCTCGCATCCGCTATGGAAAAATCGCGCATGGAATATGAGCACATAACGAATACCTCGCGCGTCGTCGTAGGTGTGGCCACGTGTGGAGGAGGCCTGTGTCGGCGTGCGGACGTATTTGGTTACGAACGAGGGATATATACGCGCCACCAGACGGTACCACCTACGTGAACGTGAGACACAATTCAGCACGTGGTCGTACCTTGCGACATCATTCCTCGCCGATTCCCATATTAACCCTTTAGACCCCAATTCGTTTCTATTACATATGAAATTTCGACTAGGATAAGAGGAGGAGGAAGAGGAGGAGGAGGAGGAGGAGGAGGAGGGAGGGGTGGGAGGGGGGGGGTGGAAAGGAAACGGACGAACGGCGGCCGGAGGACGCGAAGCTGTAATTTCGCGGGTGAAATTAGACGACGCGAGGGTAAATTGCAGCAACGGACTTACTCATCGGGAAAAATCGCTGCGCAATCGTTACTTCGTAGTCGGCGGTCTTATTCGGTTCTGTTTCCTTTCGCGTAATCATACAGCGAAGCGAACACGCGCGTACCGTTATCGTCGATCGGAGCGGAAGAAATACGCTCGCCGTTTTCCGCGCGACACCCCGCGGAGGTGTGCCGCTTGCCCAACGACGACGACGACGACGACGACGACGACGACGACGACGACGACGACGACGACGACACACGTGGAGCACGTGTTTTGTACGCCTCTTTTGCATCGCGCCGGAGAAATTATCGTGTCTGACCGTCCGCCTCTCGTGTAACTCTTTCCCAACGTTAACCCTCTTTTCTTTTTCTAAAACGATTATCCTTGTCGAGCACAGCGCGAAATCATGCGAAGTCATATCGGTTCGAACGCAAACGGAACGCACGCGAAACCTCGATTAATTAGCAATTTGTCATGTCCCGAGCGAAGAAAGATTATCTTCGAGCTCTAAAAGTGGATTAACAATTTTAAGTATACTTGTACGTATATGTTGGGATTTTTATGCGGACGGGGCAAATAAATCGCTTTATGCAACCGCGTTCCGGTTTCCACCGTAATTTGGAGCGAATTCTTTCGGGTTTCGAGACACGCAGTTAAATTATTCAATTGACCGCCTTACGCAACCTGTCGCTGTCGTCGAAAGCGGAATCGTAATTTTTTTCGCCGCGGGGATATTAACGCGCGCGATAGAATCGATAGAAACGCGACACTAGTTTAATAAAAGCGATCGCGATCGAACGCCGTGCGTTCGAACGAGGCTT